CTTGCTATCACATTAGATTTAGTGCGAGTGAATATTCAATGTAACGATAATGTCATATCACTATTTTATCAAGGATCATGGTCCATATTTCTCGATTCTATTCTAATCACTTGAATAAATAATTAATGTAAAGATAATATTATAAATAGTTAATATAAATAATATTTTACTGTAGATACGTGATATTATTAATTAATTATAAATCATGGTATACTTCACAATTTTATTAGGGATCATGGTCTAAAAAACTCTGCACCAGTTAGCGACAAAATACCTATAAAATAGGATCCATGGCATCAGGTCAAGCCTAGTGACAGTCTATCATGGCTACACTTTATTATAAAGAATAAGGAAAAAGTATACCTACATACCCCTGGTTTATCACATAATTATGGAGATCCCCACTTATTGCAAAAATAACACCACAACCCTTTGTTATGTGGTTTTTGATGGGGGTGAATCAGAGCCCAATCCAAGAAAAATAGGGTGTTAAAATTTTTAAAATCAAAGTTAGGCTAAGCCAAAAAATCCCAACTCAATTTGAACAAAACTCGGATTGAGGTGTCAAGTTTACAAGTTCAACTCGAACCCAACCCGAAATGATGAAAGTGAGCTCAACTCAATTATAGAACTTAGGCAAAATATAAAAAAGAATATATATATATAGGAGACAAACTAGGGTTTCAACAACCAAACTCAACAATCGCCTCCCACGATTGCCTCTTTCTCCATAGCCAGACTCCCACTCATTGTTATCATAATTGGATCGGACAACGAACTAACAAAGGGACCAGGTCAATGGTTCAACCGTTGGATTAACTGGTCAGACTTGTTGTATAATAAAAAAATTTAAAAAAATTATATAACATAATCATTTAGTTAAAATTTCACCATCATAATAAAAATTACTATGTGTAGTCTATAGGGTGTGTTTGGCAAGTCAATGATGGACTGGATTACGTTAGATTTAAATTCCAAACCAGTCCAGTAAAATCCCAATAACCCAGATTTCTAGTGAAATAAAAGCAAATTGGTTTATCCAATCCTTGAGTTAGTTAGTGATTTATGATGTGGTGGGACCATGGACAAACTACAATGTTTTTTTTAAACATCTCATCACTTTGACATTAATTGACTTCCATTTTACCAGTTGCCTTAACCTATACGTACAAAATAAATGCAACATATTTCAAATGGTTTGTTGAAGCCAAATGCACACATAGGTAGTACATCCTACACTACCACAAGCGTAATCGCGTGATTACCAAAATGGCTTGTGGCAATTAAAAAAATCAAATACACACACAACTACATACAAATAAGCATATTAAGTGCGAACCCTGTACATAAATATCATGGACGCAATCAATCATCGATGACTATAACAGCGACGTGTCTGGGGAGAATTAATTGACGGGGATGAACCAACACTGTCCAATTCATGATTAGTTGAAGTAACTTCATCTCATTTGAAAATAACTCCAAAATATTGAAAGTTTTGGCACGGGTCAAGGGAATACTGTGCAACAAAATCATCTTCCTACATTTGAAGCAAGCATTAATTTACTGTATAATGAACATGCACATTAATTTAATATTGTGAAAAGGTAGGAGTACTTATGTATTGGAATGAAGGAAAATACCTCACTGGTGGATTGGACTTCGATATGGCGATCAGAAATACCTACAAAAGTAAACAAACATTTGTGATTAGATATTTGAAAAATTAACAGTAACACAGAGCCCAAATAAAAGGAAAAGTGGTATATGTATTTTATACAACACACATCAATTTACAAACCATAACCCTTTTTTTTTTAACACAGTTGACAGTGTGAATGGGAATAGGAGTCAAAGAGTCAGGGTGCTACTTGTGTTGAATAAACAGAAAAGGAAAAAACACCCGAGCATTGACAGAGACGAATACCCACACAAGCTGAAAGTGAGGAACGAGATAAAGACGAAGAGAAGTACAGTGACATTTGCAGAGGACCGAGCACAGTACGAGAATAAGAAAATGGCGGAATGTTTTGTTGGCTTCTATAAGTTCTGAACACAAACGAAGACATAGGAAGAAAGATCTAAGCAAACTGATATTTTTATGAGCTTTGATAAGATTTTGATGAACTTGGATCAAGTCTTTAGAGTGAAGAAGGCAAAAAACAGGGTAGAGTACCCCCCAAAACCATCATAAATGCCAATGAAACAGTTGCTTCACCCCAAGGACATATGAATGTATTGGTGTCACATCACCTTTCTACAAGCACAATGACCAAATTGTTGTGCCAAAGGGTTTCGTACATAGAAGCCAAGATGCTTCATATATCTGTTCAATTTCTTCCATGTCTGTTTGTACATAGGTTTCAACTAATCAACCCATGTATTCCATCCCTTTTGAGGGTATCTCCTACATTTGAACAAGACATTTAATGAGGTTTTATTGGTTTCAAGAATGGTGTGTTTGGAGAAAAGAGGGAGTAGAGGAAGCTCTTTCATGGAGGTGACTATGGGTTTGAGAAAACGGGCAGTTCTGAGAATGGATTTTCCACCTTTGGGTGAAACCATGACCTTTTCTCTCTCCTAAAAAATGGTATCATGCAACAAACACACAATCTTAAATTTTCTGTCACTCTATCTACTATGTTCAAGAGTGCAACATTGCAACTACACACAACTAAATTAAGACCTAGAGAGACTTTTCGAAAAAAAAAAAGAAACTTAAAATGTAAGAGAGAACAAAAACAATTAAGAATTGGACCTAAAAAAAATGGACAAAAACTCAGTAGTGAACAAAAAATGATGCATCAAATTGACCTAGGGTCATCAGCAATGGGCCCTGTACCCAATTGAAACGAAAAAAAAAGCATCCTTTTGTTTTGGGACTTTCTGGAAGTAGCTGCTGCTTCACGCCAAAAATGGAGGCGATGGGAAGCTTTGTAAAAAATGCCTTAAATACAGATGCAGAACAGAGAGAGAGAGAGAGAGAGAGAGAGAGANAGCAAGCATTAATTTACTGTATAATGAACATGCACATTAATTTAATATTGTGAAAAGGTAGGAGTACTTATGTATTGGAATGAAGGAAAATACCTCACTGGTGGATTGGACTTCGATATGGCGATCAGAAATACCTACAAAAGTAAACAAACATTTGTGATTAGATATTTGAAAAATTAACAGTAACACAGAGCCCAAATAAAAGGAAAAGTGGTATATGTATTTTATACAACACACATCAATTTACAAACCATAACCCTTTTTTTTTTAACACAGTTGACAGTGTGAATGGGAATAGGAGTCAAAGAGTCAGGGTGCTACTTGTGTTGAATAAACAGAAAAGGAAAAAACACCCGAGCATTGACAGAGACGAATACCCACACAAGCTGAAAGTGAGGAACGAGATAAAGACGAAGAGAAGTACAGTGACATTTGCAGAGGACCGAGCACAGTACGAGAATAAGAAAATGGCGGAATGTTTTGTTGGCTTCTATAAGTTCTGAACACAAACGAAGACATAGGAAGAAAGATCTAAGCAAACTGATATTTTTATGAGCTTTGATAAGATTTTGATGAACTTGGATCAAGTCTTTAGAGTGAAGAAGGCAAAAAACAGGGTAGAGTACCCCCCAAAACCATCATAAATGCCAATGAAACAGTTGCTTCACCCCAAGGACATATGAATGTATTGGTGTCACATCACCTTTCTACAAGCACAATGACCAAATTGTTGTGCCAAAGGGTTTCGTACATAGAAGCCAAGATGCTTCATATATCTGTTCAATTTCTTCCATGTCTGTTTGTACATAGGTTTCAACTAATCAACCCATGTATTCCATCCCTTTTGAGGGTATCTCCTACATTTGAACAAGACATTTAATGAGGTTTTATTGGTTTCAAGAATGGTGTGTTTGGAGAAAAGAGGGAGTAGAGGAAGCTCTTTCATGGAGGTGACTATGGGTTTGAGAAAACGGGCAGTTCTGAGAATGGATTTTCCACCTTTGGGTGAAACCATGACCTTTTCTCTCTCCTAAAAAATGGTATCATGCAACAAACACACAATCTTAAATTTTCTGTCACTCTATCTACTATGTTCAAGAGTGCAACATTGCAACTACACACAACTAAATTAAGACCTAGAGAGACTTTTCGAAAAAAAAAAAGAAACTTAAAATGTAAGAGAGAACAAAAACAATTAAGAATTGGACCTAAAAAAAATGGACAAAAACTCAGTAGTGAACAAAAAATGATGCATCAAATTGACCTAGGGTCATCAGCAATGGGCCCTGTACCCAATTGAAACGAAAAAAAAAGCATCCTTTTGTTTTGGGACTTTCTGGAAGTAGCTGCTGCTTCACGCCAAAAATGGAGGCGATGGGAAGCTTTGTAAAAAATGCCTTAAATACAGATGCAGAACAGAGAGAGAGAGAGAGAGAGAGAGAGAGAGGAATACCTTTGGCCTTGTGAAGGGGACCAGTGGGCGCCGTTGTCAAAGTGGAGGGAACCAGTTTAGGTGAAATGAAGAGAAAATAGGATAAAAATCCTAGCTTTGTTACTGTTACAAGGGCAGTTATTTATTTTCCAAGCCAATCATGTTGATGGGCTAAGATATCCCAAAGTCCACGCGAGATATGTGGATCCAGTTCAGAGGGGATAAGTGCCCTAAAAGAGAGCAATTTGTTTTACCCAACGAATACCCCATCCAATATGGAGGATCCAAAGCTAGGTTTTGTGGGCCCCAGCCTAATTTTATCCAATCCAACATGTGTTATCTCCCTTTATCCTTCAAACCAAACACACCCATAGTGTACTGAGTCTTTTGACTGTTGAGTGTGTGTATAGGTTGATCGTGTGTGTGTGCACGTGGAGAGAGAGAAAGAGCAAGAAACAAAGTGGAACCCAACTGGCTGGTGTTAGGTTGCAGATCACGAAAAAAAATAAAAGGGAAAACTGAAGAGGCAGAACTCAGATGGGATCTAGCCATCAATGGCAAGTCGTGTGAAAGAGAGAGAGTGAAAGAGGAGAAAAATGCTAACAAAGCTTAGGGGGAGATCAATGGCTGAGAAGGAGTTCTAGATCTGTTGTGTGGCCATTGTTCGAGTTAGATCTGGAAACATTAGAGATGAAGAAAACGAAAATGAAAGAGCTAAAATATTTTTGAACCAGCCAAAGAAGACGAAGACGAAGACAAATGGACTGGTATTGTTTTGAACCAGCCGGTTTTAGGAATCTTCAATTCATCTATCTTGGAAAAAATTAGCCAATTTTCTGGTTTTGCATCGATTCGATTGCTTAGGCAGTTTAACTAAAGAACCGGATCATTTTAGATCCCAGTTCAGTCGGCTCGATCGGCCAGTTTGGTCCGGTTCTAATAATACTGCTCCCACCGTCTCTCTTCCTTCTCTTCTTGGTCTCTCATTCTTCTTCTTCACAGTCTCTCCATCTTCTTCCCTTCTCCTTCACCTGTTATCTCCTTCTTCATCTCCTCTCCACCAGTCCACGCCAGCTCTGGAGAAGTCAACCACAAATCTGGAGAAGTCGACCACAAATCATCGTCTTTGAAAAGATCAGAGGACATCACCTGGTTCTCGCCTAGACATCGGCTGGATCTCCAAAATGCTGGATGCCTGGATCTCATCTCTTCTTTTGGCTCCAACGACTCCCATTCTCTTGGCTCCAACTACTACCAGTAGCTTCTAGCTTTGAGGTTGTTCATTTTTTAGATGGGTGTTCTTTGAGCTTATTGATGAATTATTCTTATAGATTTATTGAATCAAAATCAATTGGCTTTTCAACATCTCAACTCGAATTCAGCCCCAAGTCCAACCTGAATCCAAGCGGACAATACTCGAGTTGAGTAGCTCGGGTTAAAGTTGGAGTTTTTGTACTTTTGGTTAGACCTGAGTTGACTATCTAACACACTCAACACGCCCGAGTTGCAGCCCTAGTTTTTGGGAAACAAAAACCTCCATGCTGTTACACTCCATTACCTAACCCGTTAGCTTAGGATGAGATATGTTTGACAAGAAGTTTGTCTTTTTAATTTAATTGTCAATTACTTGTGTTATGCCAGATGTGTTGTCTGCATATCATATCGTTTAAAAATTAACTAACTCACACCTAATCGTATATTTCCAGGTTCATGTTATGCTTAGTTTTTGTTGTATATAAATTTTGCATAAATTGTGTTATGGTTAATTGGATTTGTATGATCTCATTTATTTGATTGGTCTAATTGGTTCACACAATTATCACTCATATCATCTCTGATTTTGTGTCGCGAGTCAATTTAAAATTTTCAAATCTACGTAAGAGATTAGGCATGTTTACGAGGGAAAAATTGGATATCAAAGTGGCAGTTTTTAAAATTTTAAATTGTTTTTGCTTGTCTTTCTAAACAAGTGTGTGGTAAATTAATCTTTTTGTCATCTCCGTCGTTTTCACTCCAAAACATTACCTATAGGGGTTACAATATCAATTTTCAAATTGAGGGGGCTGGTTTTCATTCAACGACAGATCATAGTGGATCTAATTCTAAAACGTCCATATATCACTTATTAGAAAACTGGAACTTCTAGTATCGTGTTTTTGTCAAAAAAAGAGACTGGAACTTCTAATTTTTGAAGCAATCGCGCATGAGTCATGTGGTCATGTGAATTCCCAATATTTTAATTTATCCTTCATTTGGCCCAATAAATTTCCTAACTTTTATACAAGTGTTCTTCAAACACATTGCCAAAAATCACAAGTTAGTTTCTTCTCTCAAAAAGTTCGTCAATGGAGAAGAGGGTAGCAATAATAGGAGCAGGAATTTCCGGGCTTCTTGCCTGCAAATACACTGTAGCAAAAGGGTTTCAGCCCATAGTCTTTGAAGAAAAAGGAACCATTGGAGGACTTTGGGCTCAAACCATAGAGTCCACTAAACTCCAGAACATCAAAGAAGCTTACCAGTTTACTGATTTCCCATGGCCGCCTTCTGTAGAAGAGATGTGTCCTAATAATACCCAAGTTTTGGATTACATTCAATCTTATGCCCAACACTTTGGTCTCTTGTCTTACATTAAGTTCAACTCAAAAGTCATCAGTATAGAGCATGAGGGGGAGTCTCATGAGGAGAGAGAATCATGGGATCTTTGGGGTGGAACAGGTGAGGCATTTGGGTCCAAAGGAAAATGGCACATACAAGTGCAAAACACAGAGAAATGCTCCACAGAGGTATGTGTATTTTGTAGAAAGTTTTTGATAGTCAAACAAATTCTTAAAGTAGACAGACTATTAATTTGTTTCAAGGAAACCTTTCTACTCTTCAAACTGAATCAAAATTGCTGCCGACTTGCATTCTTTCACACCTTTTTTCACATTGTTTGCTCATTGCTAGGCTGGTATTTGGTAATTCTTGGGATGACTCGGAAAACACAACACGTAACCCATGTGCCTTTAGCAGGTTTGAGTTTGATGTTAACATGTTCGGGTAGTAAACACAAGACAGCTTAACATTCGGTCAACATAAACTTGGCTTCACCGGGCCCGAATTGCTACGTATTCACAATATGGATTCATCTATACATAACAATAAGAAGATTCAGTTTTTTGGGGATGATCGATAAATCCATGATTTACAAATATCCAATATAATAGTGACACATCAGCTCAAATAAGCCAAGTTGTTTGCGAGACCTATACAATTGATTGAGAATGAGAAAAAGAAATGCTATTTGGAGTTAAAATGTTGATTTAAAATATGTACTTGATAATTACAATTATTGAATATATAGTGAGTTTTAATAAATGTTGAGATTCACAGTGAAATCAATGATTATAATTATCAAGTACAGTTTTTAAATCCATGTAACATTGCACTTACACCTTCCTCTTCCAATCACAAAAGAAAAATGCCTAATCTTGGATTCAAGCACTCGTCTGAATCTAAGAAGAGACTTGAGGAGGAGCAAAAGAAGTTTTGGACAAAGAAGCAAAAGGAGATAAGTGCTTTAGGTAGGCTGAAAAGATGCAGGAATGGCTACACGATTAAGGACAGTCCATGGATGAAACTAGCCCTCAGCAAAAAGCCCAAAATCCAATGGGCAGCCTAAAACCAGGTAGTCCAATGGGCTAAAAGGCCGCTTGGCCCATACACGTGTCAGGCCTTGGATAGCTTGATAGCCCAGAGAGTAGGGGCCTAGGCTGATTTTTTAGGCTGGGGAGCCCGATGGATGGCCCGTTAGGAAGTCCGATGGCTGGCCTGTTAAGAAACCCGTTAGCCCAACAAATTATATTTCATAATTGTTTTGCTGATTTGATATTTGATTTGTAACTTTTAAAAAATTGAGACATGCAAATGATTAATAATAGTATAGGTGTCAACTTAATTAGGATATACTTTATTTGTAATGATCCAAAATAGTCTCACCCATCAATCAATGTAACATTGTAACCCTTGATGAATATTTATTAAATTTAATTAATACGAATAATTTTTTTGTTAAGTTATTTTTTTTAATATCCAACTATATGAATTGATGTCTTTTTGTAATTTTTACATTAAAAAAGTAATTTTTTTATTTAAAAGTCCGTTTTAGGCCCAAATAGCAGCCCATAAGACCCGACACATATTTAATTGTCTTTTTCGCCCAATAGGCCAACCCATGCGCGGGTCATGGGCCTTAAAATTTTTCACGGCCCATTGACTAGTCAAAGCCCAAAGTCCTGACCTTTGGGCGAAAATATCATGGGCTGGGCCGGCCCGCTGCCTAGGCCTAGAGAAAACAGCTAGTTCGACAGTAACTAGATTTTTTTTTTTATGTCGCCGGCTCCTTTGGGGGAAGAGGAGGGACATGGGAGAGCGTGACCTAGAATTCCTTAATTTAGTGGGTCTCACTAATTTAATTGTTAAAAAATTCTTAAATGATATATGAATGTCTCACTAGATACCTGTAAATCACAGGGTGTGATTTACGGATAATTCGTGAAAAATTTAATTTTAACAATAAGTGAATATCATATCTAAATGACTATGAATATAACAAAGAGTTGACATGACACACGACCCTTTATCTCTATTACTTGTGAGTTTTTAGTCACACGTGATGCATTTTCATCTTATTACCAATATGCCTTGCTATCGTCCCAGAGATGCCCATCCGATCTAAATTAAAGCACAGTAAAAATGTATTTATTTTTTTGTATTTCATTCACCATGGGACCTTTTTGATGGAGTGAGAAATAATGTCAGAATAGGAAAGCAATTGGATATTTTGGTTTCTGCTTACATTGTAATCAATCAATCAATCAAAAATGTCTGTTGGTTGTTTATTTGTGCTAGGAATATGAAGTTGAGTTTGTGATTGTTTGTACTGGAAGATTCAGTGGTGTGCCAAACTTTCCAGAGTTCCCTCAAGGTCATGGTCCAGAGGTATACTCTGGGAAGGTTATGCATTCAATGGACTACTCTGCTATGGACAATGCAGCTGCTGCAGAATTGATTAAAGGAAAGAAAATTGCAGTTATAGGCTCTTCAAAATCTGCAGTGGACATATCAGCCGAATGTGCCGATGCAAATGGTGAGAAAGTTTTTCTTAAATCCGCATGGATTGTGTCTTTCAGAGGAAACTTCAAAACAGAATGCCTCTTATAAATTCTAATTGTGGTGAATGAAGGATATTCTCGTGTTTTTGGTAGATTTACTAATGGCCAATTGGAGGTTGAAACACAAGTATTAGCTCTACATTCAACTCTAATCCCTCACATATGCCTATTCATGAGATATCATAGTAGAAGCCATTACATTTTTTCTTCGAGTTCTTTCCTTGCATGCAAAAACTTTGTCCTTCCAAAACAAGAATAAAGTAACTTGAACTTTTCATTTCTTTTTTTGGAAAGTGATAATAAATGTTCGCAACGGGCATTTTCATACAAAGATTTGAAGCTTTGTCATTCAATTTACAAAATTTTCCTCATTTTTTAACCAGGGACCAATTACCCTTGCACGATGATTCAAAGGAACATTCATTGGATGATCCCTGATTTTTTTGTATGCGGAGTTAATCTTGGTTACTTATACTTCAATCGCTTCTCGGAGCTTCTGTTTCACAAGCCTGGTGAAACATTCCTACTCAGTGTCTTGGCCACCCTGCTTTCACCTTTGGTAAGCTCTCTCTCTCTCTCACACATTAAGCTCCATAGCCTTTCCCAATAATGTTAAACCATATCGTTTTCACTTGGTGTTTATTTGCATGATACTCAGAGGTGGGGGATCTCAAAATTTGTCGAGAGCTATCTCAGATGGAAATTTCCCTTGAAAAAATATGGAATGGTACCAAAAGATAGCTTTTTCCACGATGTTACTTCTTGTATAATTCTCATTCTACCTAAGTATTTTTACGACAAAGTGATAGAAGGAAGCATCATTTTGAAGAAATCACAAAGCTTCAGCTTCTGCAAGGAAGGTTTACTTATTGAAGGAGAAGACGAGCCTCTAAAAACCAATCTTGTGATCTTTGCCACTGGATACAGAGGTGATCTCAAGCTCAAAAATATTTTCACCTCACCAACTTTCCAAAAACACATAATGGAGTCGCAAACTTCCTCAATTCCTCTCTACAGGTATTCTGTACAATTTTTTTTCACAGATAAATATCATGATCCAACAAAATTTTGATGTTTGTGTTATTACAGGCAGATCATTCATCCTCGAATTCCTCAACTAGCAATAATAGGATATTCGGAGAGTCTTGATAATCTATACACCTTTGAGATCAGGTGTCAATGGCTAGCACATTTTCTCGATGGAACATTCCAATTGCCAAGTATAAAGGATATGGAGACGGATGTTAGACAGTGGGAAGATTACATGAAGCGATACGCTGGCAGTTCTTACCAAAGATCTTGTATTGGTGGTGTGCATATATGGTACAATGATCAATTGTGCAAAGACATTGGATGCAATCCAAGAAGAAAGAAGGGATTGTTTCAGGAATTGTTTGAACCATATGGACCTGCAGACTATGTAGGACTCCAATCTCAATCAAGAGGTGGAGCTAAACAATCTTAGAAAACCAAATGAAGGTACTATATTGAATTTGTTATGGTCAGTAGTCCCATTAATCAATGGTGTTGGATTTCAAAACAAGTGAATTTTTGGCTTGAATAAGTAATTTGGGATGCCCCATCAATGTTAGTTGCAATTTGATAATGCTTTGCAAGTGTTTTTCGTCTAAATTGCAAGTTGTTGTCAATTTATCTATTTATTTTTTAGAACCATATTCTTCCGGAAAAAGTAATTGAAAAATTGTTCAAAAACCCATCTACATAACTATAATTAAAGAAATTAAGCATTAATATCTTGAGATCCTAAAGTACGTGTTTTTTGCAAGAGGATAGTGACGTTTGTTTGTTCTTAATCACTAATTTTTGATTAAAAAGAAAACAAAATCATTTTCTTCCATTTGAAGTCCTTCCTTTCCAAAATTCAATGACCATTAACCAACGATATAACAAGAACAAAGTTTTTTAAAAGCGAGTGTCATTAAACTCACATCTGTAGGATAACTATAAAATACCCATGAGTACTAGTTAAGTTTGAGAATTATCAGCGGAAATTGAATTCAAGAAATTTAAATTTATAGTGTATGCAACTTGAGTACTACCCTTAATTGGTATCAGGGTGGAGGTGAAATTTTGGTAGGTCTGAAGAGAACATTTAACCATAGCGAACCAAAAAAAGAAAAGAAAGAAACAAGCGGTGGCAAATATGTGATGTGGCAATCGAATGTCCTTGTAGCAACTCCTTTGCAGTGAGAAAAAATCCCGAGACGCGGTAATGATACCCAAATTTCAAATACCACCTATTAATTTTTTTTTTATTAATTAGAGAATATTCTTCATTTCAAATTAGCGGTGACCTACGATTCCAACACTCTAAACTTAATCTACGTGGATAGTTGAACTCGGGTTATGTAATTTAGGTTTAAATTAAGTCTAACTCTTAATTTGGACGAAAAATGGTATTCAATTGAAGTTCAAATTCTTAAGTTAAATAATTCAAGTTGGAATTTGAGTTGAATTTCTGGATTCAACTTTGGGTTTGCAAAAAAAAGACACTACAATCAAACTTCAAAAGTGCCCTCGGAATTAAAATTGAGTGATATTTTTGTTTTTTAGCTGAAATTCAAAAGAAATTAAAGTTTTTTTACTTAAAAGGCTTGAACCATGAAAGATTTTAAAATTGTCACTTTATATTCTAAAAGATTAAATTTCTCACATTGTACCCACAATTTATCAAAATTATTGCAATGTGATTCACATGTTAGTGTTCTGTTAGTTTTTGTTAGTGTCAATAAGTTAGCTTTTAATGAAAAAAAAATGAAAAATGACAAAAATATCACATTACAATACTTTTGATACACTAAAATGCAATATAAAAAATTTAATTTTTGAAAGTACAAAATAAAAATTTTAAAATATATTAAAATACAAAGTGCAAAAAACCCTTACTTAAACATTAGAGTAAATTATGCATTTGGCTCCTAAGCTATCTAATTGATCAAGCACTTTTGTTTGCCTCCGTTAAATTTTCTAACGGAAATGTTCAGACTATACCAATCACATGAAATTGCAAAAGCGTTTTAGGCAACCCACATTAAAGCTATTGCAGATCTGTGAATCTCAAAGAACTTCTCGAAGAGCTAAACCCTAACCCAAGAACAAAAAGGAAATGGAGATAAATTGGTAATGGTTAATGATAAGCCATGTAACCAAATTTTTGAGAGAAGGGACAGCAGTCTAGAAATCCAAGTACCTCTATAGATTTATCCAAGAAGAATTGGAAGCCCATCAAGCTCAAAAAGACCAATGGAAAAAGATTACTATGTTACTGAGCCCTTGGAAATCCCAGATGTTGGTCCAAAAGGTGAAGGCCCAAATCAACAGGTCTCGGCACTATGGAATTAGCTACTTAAATTTGGGGCCCGTGAAGTTCTTGCATATAATAAACTTGAGCAAAACTTCCAAAAATTGTCTTTGAAAAAAAATCCCTGTTGGAATTGGTGGAAGCTATTGATGAACCAATTTCCTCAAAGAAACAGAAAGGAGAATATGTACAAGATTCAATGCTAAAAAAAATCACATTTCCCCAGATAGGGGGGATGCCTCCTCAAGAAAATCAAGAAGAAATCATGGCAGAGGAAATCATATGAAAAAGGTCAAAGGCATCCTAGAGGGAGATGAGGTGGAAGAAGGAGACTGTTTACCCACTCTGAAATCTTTTTTGTAGCACCAGAGGAAGCAAAGTTCCAATAAGAGGTCAACCTTTTGGAAGAAGACGATAGACTTCAAGATGAACAAGGAGAGAACAACTTAGAAATATGTATGTCTCACTGGATTGATCAATCCCCTACAACCAGCATGGAGAGGGACTTTTGCCGAGTTCAAAAGAAAGGGCAGTGGTGGTTGGCCTCAAACAGCCATTCCTCCCATGTTAATCATTTTATGGAACTGTCAGGGAGTAAAGTGACTCCGAACTATTCGTACGTTACAAGGGTTGATTAGCACCCACTTTCCATCCATAGTCTTCCTTATGGAGACTAAGAATAAATCCCAAAATTTAGAAAGATTGAGAAGAACAGTCAATTTCCCAGATTTTGAGTACGTGGAACTAGCCGACCTATCTGGAGAATTGACACTTTGGTGGAAAGATGAAGTTAGGCTTCAAGTTGATGTCAAGAATAAAAATATGGTTCACACTATTTGTTGCTCCCACAGAACTCCATGGTGTGACAAAGTACTTTTGTGTACGTTGATATTGACTTTGACAGAAGACAGCGAAATTAGCTAGGTTTGAAGTCAGTAGCTGCATCCACCACAATTCTCTGGGTAATAGTTGGGGATTTTAATGTTATTGGATCTCAATGGTAAAAAGATGGGGGGAGAGCAAGCAACATGAGACAAGTTGAGGAGATGCAACTCCTAATCTTTGAATGTAGATTGATGGAGATGGATTTCAAAGGACCTAAGTTTACTTGGTCAAACAATAGACCAGAGAAGGATAATGTGCAAGAAAGACTGGATTGAGTGCTGACAAACTCAGAATGGAGTTTTAAATTTCCATACACACTGGTAATACATGGAGCAAGAATAGGCTTTGACCATAGTCTACTTGTCATAAATTTGGATAACAACGATAAGAGAATTCCTCATTATTTTAAATTTGAATCAATGTAGCTGGAAGACTGAAAGTGTGAAGAGGTAATTAGGGAAAGTTGGGAAGGAACTTATCAACGTTTAGCTATGCTCACTACAATCAGAAGACTGCAAAGGTGTAGTAAGGACCGTAAAAACTAAAGCAAGATCTAGTTTGGAAACAATAGAAAAATTCTTTCAGAGTTACAAAGCAAATTGGCTGATGTCTAAATGAAAGAACCCTCCGAAGATAATTTGAAAATGGAAGCAGACATTTCTTTGGGAATTGATAATATCAGGAGAAGGGAGGGGAAGTACTAGCCACAAAGGCCCCGAATTTATTGGTTAAGTGTTGGAGATTAGAATACAAAGTTTTTTTCATCTTACCACTGTACAAAGAAGACAAAGAAACCAAATTCTAAGATTAAGAACTGAGGAGATGTTGTGGATGGAGGAGGAAGAAGAGCTTAACAATCATATCAAAGAGTATTTTAGGTCTCTCTGTTGGCCAACCGGACCAAGGAACTTTGAGGAGGTACTATCATTAGTAGAGAGAAAAGTGACTAAGGATATGAATAATTCATTACTAAAGGAAATACAAAAACAAGAGGTGCTAAAAGTAGTCAAGCAGATAAAGGCCCTTAAAGCACTTAGGCCTGATGGATTTCCTGGAATCTTTTATCAAAAGCTTTGGCACATTATCAACAAAGACGTTTGTTATGCTATTAAGCAATTCTTTGAAGAAGGGTAGATGATGGCGGAGTTAAACAAAATAGATATTATCTTTATCCCAAAGGAAACAACACCCGAAACTATAGCCCAATTCAGGTCAATTGCTCTTTGTAATTTTTTGTACAAAGTTATCTCAAAAGTCATGTCAAATAAGATGAAAGGAATGATGAGCATCTTGATATTACCACAACAAGCTGCCTTTGTTCCCAATAGAAAAATTCAAGATAGTATTATCATAGCAAATGAAGTCCTACACTACTTGAAGCAGAAAAAGAAAGGGAATGTGCCAGAATTAGCTATCAAGGTTGATAAAAGCAAGGCATACGACAGGATTGAATGAGATTTCTTAGAGGCTGTCCTACTAAAAATGGGATTTCATCCATATTGGGTACAACTAATCATTCAGTGTGTAAACACAGTCAATTACCAATTTTTGTTAAATGGAGAGACAAAATGTGTTATCTAGCCACAAAGAGGAATCTGCCACGGATACCGCATTTCACCTTACCTTTTCATCTTGGTTGCTGATGTGCTGTCAGGAATGCTTCTAAGAGGGCTTCAAGACAGGTTGTTCATGGGAATTAAAATCTGTAGGAGAAGTCCCATTACTTCTCATATCTTTTTTGCAGATGACTCCCTCTTCTTTATCAAAGCCATACAATAACAGGTTGCCAATGTTATGAAGATCTTAGAGGATTACTGTGAAGCCTCAGGACAATGCATGAATACCCAAAAGTTAGGTATCATTTTCTCTGCTAACACTTCAGAAGACCAAAAATTGTGGCTAAGCCAAACAATAAAAATGCAACACATCCTACATTGTGCAAAGTGTCTTGGATTTCCAATTATGTGGAAGGGATCTAAAAATGAGGTGTTTAGTTATTTACTTGAAATGACCCTTAAGAAAATGCAAGAGTTGGAAATCTAAAATGTTGATGCAAGCAGGTAAAGAAGTCCTTATTAAGGTAGTGATCCAAGCTTTACCTAACTATGCAATGTCAGTCTTAGCATTCCTTAAGAACTTCTGCGACAAGTTGGATAGATATGTCAGGAACTTCTAGTGGAGAGGAAAAGGAAAGAAAGGGGAATATGCTGGAAAAAGTGGGAAAAATGGTGGAATCAAAGGAGAGGGGAGGAATGGAATTTAAAGATTTTCATGTGTTTAACCAATCTCTTCTGGCTAA